CTCTACGAGAGAGGCTTGGCAACGGCGAATTGAAAAATGAAAGCACAAAATTATTGGTTTTTTTATCATTGCTGTTTATTTCGACTGTCATTACCACATCTTCCGGAAACTATTTTCTTCTCACGAATAATTTTCCCAGAAGTCACAAAGTATGTTCCCTGACTAAAAGAAATTTATTGATTTGCGGTGTCTTTTTCCGTTTGAAGTCGGACAGTCCCGGTTCAGGGGCGGATCCTGGATTTTTCCGTGAAGAGAGTGTATTACTAACGCCGGACGTAACTGATGTTGTTACTGAGGACGCGGACTGAACGATGTTGATTCATTTCTAAAAACGTGACGTTTTGGGTAGGATAAACTCTTCCATCACATCTCATGTTTCACTTCACTGACACCAGTAAACCACATCCTTATTGTGTACAGAATACTAGTTATATTAGAAGGCCTCAGGTCAGGGTAAGATGGATGGGCCCATTTTACCCATTTTACCCTCTTGTAGCCAATCAGCTTGCTTACTTTTCACGCTTTCGGAGCTGCTCATGCAATAGATGACCTTTCCCTTCATAGCTTCGTGCCGTTAAAAGAGAATCCGACTCGTTCGAATAAAAGGCCATGTGTTTTGATACCGTTCTCAAAAAGCAACTCTATCCCATGTTAAGCGCTCTGAATAATTTATCATCTGTTAAAGTTATTAGTTAACAGGAAGTACATTTTCCTGTAGGTGCAGCGTCAGGAAATGGAGTCTCATCTTGAATCAACAACAAGAGTCCATCTTGATTTCACTTATTCTTGTAATAATAACACGGAAGATGAGTTAAAGGACACAATAGCTAAGTTAAGTGAGACAAAAGCTGAGCTAAGTGAGACAAAAGCTGAATTAAGAAAGACAAAAGCTGAGTTAATTGAGACTAAAGCTGAGTTAAGTAAGACAAAAGCTGAGTTAATTGAGACAAAAGTTAAAACAAAACTTGAGTTAAGTGAGACAAAAGCTGAGTTGAAAGAGGCCGTGAAACAACTAAAGTTGTTAAGTGTAAAACATACAAATTCTTTTCTTTGGCGGATCGACGGTTTCAGTGAGATTTTCAAACTGGCACAGACCGATAAAGACAAAAATGATATATACAGTGATCCATTCTACACAAAAACTGAAACAGAAAGTTATGGCTACAAGTTGAAAGTAAATGTTTGTCCTAACGGCCATGGCGTTGGCGAAAAAACTCACCTTTCGGTTTACATTTTTATAATGAAAGGTGAATATGACGCAATATTACCCTGGCCTTTCACTAAAAAAGTGAAGTTCACATTGATTGATCAACAGGAGGATCCAGACCAACGGCAAAACAAAACCCACGAGATCGTTGGGCAATATTCTAAACACTGGGCAAGGCCCATGACAGACGGAAACGTTGGAACGGGTGGTCCAAAATTTATATCTCATGAGGAACTTAATTCGGGACGCTTCTTTGTGGATGATGTCTTGTTTCTTCAGGTTGACATTGAGTGACCATCAATTTGATTTCATCAGTGCTCCAAGCCAACCCCGAAAGTAAAAGTAAAAAAAAAGATAGATTGAGCCTCTCGATATGAATTTGATTTAGGCATATTGCACGACAAATAAACTCTGACAAATCTTTATCTTCTGTAATAAACATCTGAATTCATTCAGTTTATCGATACTGCGGCCAGGTTGGTGAACTCACTGAGCTCAAAAAGACGCAATCAAGAAGAAAAAACTTTAGGTTTTGATCGGATGCGATGATAATTAAGATGGTTCGTGCCTGTATACTCTGTGTAGAAATTAAAAGAAAGCACTCAACTCAGTGAAAGAGGGGAGGGTTTATTAGAATGTAGGTATACTTTTTGAGATTATAAGGGGGAGAGGGGACATTTTCGACCTTTTTCTCTTGCGAGGTAATGTGACATTTATTGGCAATTTACATTTATTCTTGACCTTTGGCCACTTATGTAAAATGAGAATAACTGTTGACAGAAGGTCTAAGGAAGTAAAAGCGAAAACTTAACTTTCGATCTTACCGTATTCTCTATCAGCAAAGTGAGCGTGCGATTTCTCGTGATTACAAGTCTGTTAAGTAATAAGTCGTTAAAACTTGTACTACGGAAACTAAAGCTGTATGAGGGTGACATATATGAAAGGTTTTCTGATTGTTTTATACTGTATGTTGCTTGATTGAAACTTGGAAATAAACGCACTTAACTTTTGGAATAGCTTGCCATATTAAATGTTTCCTACGATTCCCCCCCCGGCTTGATGTTTAGTTGCCCGTTTCCGAGGTTACCGGTTCCGTAGAGCTGTTTTTTATCTGCCACCTTTTCATTCGAGATCGAAGTGTTGATAATTTTGATTTTAAAACATTGAAATGTCACAAAACTTCAAAGCATGGACTGGTTCTTAGCCCGCGACCCCTAAAGCGACAGTTCCTCCAAAAACTACATACGAGACTTTTAACTTGGTGCAAAGCCAAACAGATTATAGCCTGAGGGGCTGGGGCTGATTTACTCATCAAGTTCAGTTTAGTAAAGGTGCAATACAAATTATGTTTGTGTAAGAACAGTATTGAGTTTATTTGTTCGTTTAAATGATAGATGGGAAAAAAGGTTAAAATCCAGCTTTATGGTTTCTTACACCGGTTTCCGGTTTCCTTTTGAACTCAAAGGTATCAACGTAAAGAAGTATTATAGTAGATGCCATTATTATATTTGAATCAAACTATTAAACTATTATTAAACAATTATTAAACACGCATCAAATTATTTATCTATCATTAAACTTGAATTTTTGACGGCAATTCTTGAAATAATAGCCGCATGTATCCTCTGCCTTTGCTTTCTCAGTGATTATTTAGAACTGCAATTTTGAACTGTTCTGTTAACCATAGGATCAATCAAATGTCAACGAAATCCAGTTGTACCGTAACTTAAGTTAGAGAACAGGGTCAAATACGAATATTTGATGAAGAAACTTTGTTGATTCCAGAAATGTATCCCATCTAGGATCTTCATAGCTTACCCCATTAATATTAACTTTTGACTTTGTCATAGAATTCTCACCAACAGAGACGTGCATGCACCAGGTATGTCGGAGTTTCTTTCCACAGAAAAAAGGAGGGGGTTTCAAGAGATAAAGGAACTTTCGTTGACTTGATATATCGATCGATCGATCGATCGATCGATTGATCGATCAAGTCCAATCCACGTGAAGAAGATACAGAAAAGTGAGCGAGAACAGTAAGTCATAATGCAATAGCAGTGTTATTTCTCTACTGTCGAGAAGTCACGCATTACTGCGTAACAAGAATATTTTGAGGCAAGGGTCATATATTTTTTTTATATTTCATCACCAACCTTAGTGTCCCGGGTGGATTTCAATATGGCGCAATCCACATCAAATGAGCAATTTCCCTCCCCCTGGCCGCGATGAGGACTTTTTGAAAGCAGTTGACGAAGATTTTGTCCTTTGCCTCTGAAGGAACCAGTTCTTACGAGATGTGACCACGGATATTGCAAGGAATGTCTGGACGAGCACATTGGAAGGTACGACTTTATGATAAGTAGCTTTCAGTATTGTTTCGTTTCCTTAATTAATCTGATCGTCCTAGAGAACTCAAGACCGTTTATCAATGTCCTTCAACTAAATTCGATCAACAGAAAAGCTGAGTTTCATTTCATTAGAGGCTGGTGGTCAGTTGCATGATCGTAAAGATCAGTTATAATTATAATGACCACAACATAAATTTACCAGGTGATACATTGATCAATTTCTAGCGTTGCATTCGATTGGTTTCGATCAAAATACGCGCCTAACTTCCTCAAAAACGTAGCACGACAGATTGTACAAATTATTAAACGCCGTGAACAGGTTCCAAACTAACTTGTCCCAATACAAATTATCTTAAAATCCGAAAGCGGAAATGGGTATTGCAATTATGTACTGCAAGCGTGATTACAGTTCGAAGTTCAAATCTTTACTCCACATTTACCACTTTGTGCGTATAAATAAATAAACGATACTGCTAGTCCTACCATGCTATTCAAAGTTTTGGTTCCCCTCATCTCACCCACGACTTCAATACTCGCCCACTAATTTACGTGAACATAAAAGTGGTTTGCACTTTACGTCATTGCCGCCATGTTGGTGGACGGTAAACAATAGATATCTTATTAGCTCCCTTTGTTCGTCCACTAGCATCTGTTTCTTTCACCATTCTTACCTGTGTCTCAAGAGATTGGTTGGAAATCTTGTAAATTGTGTTAAGGTGCCGATCATTTAACTTTTGAGGGGGGGTGGGTGATGCGTGTACCAGAGTGAGTAAGCTGTCTCTCGATAAATACTTCTTAATGCATCTAATATTATGCAAGTAGAAAAAACCCGCCTTACATACATTAGTAATATGGTGGCGCATATTCAGGTTTGGATCAAGCCAGCTCCCAAGGTTCTTAACTTGGTGGCTAGATTTTATCTCTGAACCACCTACTTTAATATTCATAGCCTGTAATTTGTTAAGTTGCTGGCGTGTTCCAATAATAATAAACTCAGTCTTGTCGTCATTAAGAAGGAGTCTATCATGGATCAGCCAGCGCCTGATCTTCTCGATACAACATTCCATCGCACGGATTGCATCTTCCTGGGATGTGTTACTGATAGGTTTGAAACTCAGATAAATCTGTGTGTCGTCGGCATAGCAATGCACGTGTGGAAGTTGATCTTCAACCACTCTGAATAGCTTGGATGCATAGATTAGAAACAGCAGGGGGCCCAGACATGACCCTTGTGGGACACCACACTCCAGGCTAAAGCGCTCTGAAAGAGATCCGTCGATGGAGACTCGCTGGCCTCTTTTCGCCAGATACGACCTGAACCATTCCAACGCCAATCCGCATATCCCAAGCTCCTCATTCAAACGAGTAAGGAGGATGTTATGATTAACCGTATCGAAAGCGGCGCTGAGATCGAGCATGACCAGCAAGGTGACTTCTTGAGTGTTCATTTTCATGAGGATATCGTTCGTGACTCTAACAAGAGCCGTTTCCGTACTATGATTTTTACGATATGCAGACTGAAACTCAGGATATAGTGAATGAGTCATCATATGGGTGTGTATCTGCTCGTACACCATCCTTTCAGTCAGCTTTGAAACATACTGCAGGTTGCTGACAGGTCTGTAATTTTTGTATAGAAGGTCTAGCCCAGACTTCTTCAGCAGAGGAAGAACAAGCGCACACTTCCAGTCATCAGCGAATAGCCCAGACTCAAGTGATAAATTGATCATTTTCGTTATGATCGGTAGAAGCACGTCAATGCAATCTATCACTAGGGATGTTGGCATAGGGTCTAGATTGCAGCTTTTATTTGTACTGCTATTGATGAGCTTGCGAACCTTCTCTTCCGTAAGGGGGCTAAATTTGCTGAGGGGGG